TATATATATTATATATATAATATAATATAAAGACACAAGAACAACAACAACTGCCTCTCAACGTTAAAATCAAACCAAAGAAGCAAATATCATACCGTATCGATCGATACGATCGATATGTATCGGTTTTTAAAGTTGACCGAAATGGTAAAATATTAATTTTTGTTTCGATCAAAATCTGGTTATTTCGGTCAAAATCTGGTGTACCGGCTGAAATTTCGAAATTTCGATGTACCGGCTGAAATTTCGTTGTACCGACCGGTTCACCGAAATTTCGGTCAATACACATTGGCAAATTATTTAAAAAAAAAAAAGGATTCCCTAGCCCAAAACGACGTCGTTTTGGGCTAAGGGCTTCTTAATAGGCAATTTCATATACTGGTACACAGAAGTCATCCGTACAACTCAATTCAAATTTAAAAAGGGTAAATTTCATTTATGGTCCTCAACTTTAATGTTATATATAATTTTCATTCTTTAACTTTTTTATATACTTTTTAGTCCAGTTTTCATTTTTTTTAGTTTTTCTATCAATTATTTTGTTAAATTTGTCTAAATATACACATTTTTAGTCCATTAATTTAAAGTGGATGGATAAAAAATATACAAATATTAGAAGTTGAGAGACTAAAAATGATCATTTTAAACTTTTTTTAAATTTATAAGAATATCATAGTTTTAAATATTAGTATCTCTTATCTTATTTTAAAATTTAATATTTAATTTATAAAAATATATATTTATAGCGATAAATCCGAAACGGTAAATAAAAAATTTCGATATCCGGTACGTATCATTCCAGTAACAAAACCGATAGCATACCGGTGTAGTATTGACTACTTTGAATCAAACACTATTTTCACCAATCACGTGCCTATTAAAAAAAATCTCCCATAAAAAAAATCTCCCATAAGTTGTTTCCACCACTGACGTGCCTATTAAAAATATCTCCTCAGAGTTATTTCCACCAATCATGTGCCCATTAAAAATATCTCCCCAGAATTATTTCTACCAATCACGTACCTATAAAAAATATTAGGTAAAAACTTTACATGGCCTCTTTATTTTAATAAAAAGATTTTTTTAGTCTCTTTACTTAAGAAAAATATTTTTTAATCTCTAAAATTTAAAATTTAATCTTTTTTTATTCCTTTTGTTATTTTTAATCCTTTTGGTCCTTCTACTTTAAAAAAAACCTCTTTTTAGTTCTCTACTTAAAAAAAAGGCTCACTTTTAATCCTTTGGTTTGGAATTTCTATTATAATAATGTGTCATGTGAGAAAAAAATAATAAAGAGAGTAAAAAAGGTTGAATTTTAAACTTTCGGAATGAAAAAAAAAATTTCTTAAGTAGAGAAATTAAAAAAGAACTTTTTATTAAAATAGAGAAAACAAAAAAGGGTTTTTATAATACCCTTAAATTTTGTGCTATTTTAGCATTAAGTTAAAGACTTTTATGAGAGGAACTATTATGTTGGGGCTTAATAGAAAAATTTGCTAAGTTGAGGGACTTAAAAAGGGAAAAGAATTTGGTTAAGGATGGTTTCTTTTCTTTTTCTCCTTTCTTTCTTTCTTTCTTTTCTCCTCAGACCCGCGCCTGCTCTTCTTCTTCTCCCCGTTGCAGCCACCCGAAAGAAGAAAGAAAAAAAGGGGAACCCAGCCATACTTTGAGAAACCGGTGAGAAAGCTTGTATTTCTCCTTATTTTCTTGCTCTAAAACACATGTAGAACCCATAAATTCTCCCCCCCGGCTAGAAAATCCGGATCTGCTTTGCTCTGTCCGCCGGCTGCTCTTGTTGTGGGGGCAAAATTCTTCAAATTCCGGTAAGCCACAGCCATGAATCTCCATTCTCTAGCTTTGAATTGCCTTGGGTTATCTTAATTGCTCTTGGTGCTCCAATTTTTGGGTAGATTTCCCGTGAGCTTCCCCTGCACTGCCGCCGGCTTCTCCCCCTGCCAAGTCCGGTTTTGCAGCTGAAATTATGGTATGTGACAGCTTCTCTAAGTCCCAATTTACCTATTTAACTGCTGAAATTAGCCATCTAATTGCTGCCCTATTGTTGTCCGAATTTGGCAGAAAAAATGGGGGAGGAATTCCGGTAGCTTTAGGACAAATTTAAGAATTAATTCAAGTGGGATTTATATGATTGAGTGTTAATTGACTGGGAGAAAATCCCGTGAGATTAGCTAGTGTTGTGGCCAATTTTGGAAGTTGGAGTTACTGTTCACGTCGTGGTTAATGTTCACGGCACTGTTCATATATTACTGTTCACACACCGAGGGTCAATAATTAACGGGGATTTAAGTGTTTAGTTTGTGATATAAGAACGAATTTGGAGATATCTGATAATGTGGAGATTGATAAGAATAATATCGTGATTAGGAGGTAGTCATGATGATTTCACTTTGAATTTGTGATGGTACGGTAATTAATTTTGGGATATTTTGATTAGGTTCGTGATCGTTCTGTCAGTTTAGCACTGAGATCGAGTCTTCGGTTTTATGCGAGTGAGGTAAGTAAATTTATGGTAATGCCCGTACAGTTTTTAAAAGCATGTTTTGATTTGTTTTTGAAGTGGTGGCGGGACTAAACCCGTTTTACACAAGTATGATCGATTGAAATGAAATTTTTATGCTTTTCATTAAATTGAACATGCCTACTTGAAATTTAATTGATTGTCCTGATGATTTGAAAGTGATTGGTGAATTATGATTTTTTTGTTAACTTCTGCTTGTTTTGTCTTCGATGTGGTTATGTTATTAATGATCTTGCTAATGGGGGTTAAACGCTAGCACATGTCGATATGTTACTGATAGAATCGGTTCGTTCAAGTGTAGCCTGCCAGTGGGAGGTTTATAACACTGGCCATGACCTATAGAGGAGACGTCTATTTCGTTCCTGTACTGTATCCGTTTTTCGTGCTTACACTTGTTGGCATGCTATAAGTTTAATAAGGAGCACTCCATATTTTGCTTACTGAGTTTATCTCATAGTTTTTCCTTGTCCACCATTTTAAGAAGTGAAACCGAGGACGGAGAAACCACGGGAAGTGACGAATTAGAAGGCTAGCTATTTCGAGATTGACATAGATTTTAGAGATAGATCATGATCTTGTAAATTGGATTTTAATTGGAGATTTTATAAATTCATTGAATGGATTGTTAGTTACAAGAGATTTGACCTTGAGATTTTGGTGGTATTAGATTGTGATATGATAAGTTTCGAGCCTTGTGCATTTGTGGGATTCTCTCATGAGTGCACGGCGTTTGTCGCACCTCGAATTCGGGTTTTGGGGCGTGACAGTTTTAAACAAAATATTATAAAAAAATTATCTCCCTAAAGTTATTTCCACTATGGTTAGAGAGTTAATTTTATCAGAAAAATTTTTATTGAAAAAATAATTAAAAAAGTATTGTATAAAAAATGGATAAGTTATAATGAAATTTTTTTAAAAAATTATTAATTCTTTTATATTTAGTAAGAAATTAGTATATGAAAAATTAGTAAGAAAGTTGTTAAATAAGTCTTATATAAAAAAATTGGGGAAAGATTTTTTCTTCAAAAAGTATAGAAAGAAGAGTTTATAGATTAAAATTTATAAAAGAAAAAATAAAGGTTAAAAATATAACTTTTACATCCTCATTTTGTTGTAGTAATAGGGTATAAAAATACAAAAATAACATTATAAAGAGAAAATTTTAGAGAACTTTAGAAGACAATACTAGAAAAAGCTTTATTTTGAAAAAAAAAATATTTCAGACAAGAAAATATTTTGATCAAAAAAAATAATAATAACTCGGTCAAGCATTTTGACTGAATTATGCTTTAATCCAATTAAAAGGTATTTAACATAATAATTACATGGTGCTAGGCAATTAGAAACCTAAAGTTCCATCAACAAAACTAACAGAGTTATGTGGGGTAGATACAATGAAATAATTTTGAAAGTGAATAGATGAGTTTGAAAGAAAATAAAAATTTTAAATTAAAATGAAAAAAAGGTAATAATTAATAGATGATTTATTAAATTAAACCATAAAAAAATGAAAAAATGAAAAGGAATTCACAAACAACCAACCAAACATCCGCATCTAGGTAACTTTTGAGACAAAGAGTCTTTCTTTCTAACAATAACTTCTATAGAAATGTTGTTTAACTAAAACTTTTATAAGAGTGTTGATTTAGGGACTTTATAATATGATTAATTACCATGAAGTTGAAGGAATGCATGAGGAAATGATACCTCCAAACGGAAGGATGGTAACTAGATGTACGATGGCTATCTTTGCAGCTTGAATTTTGAGGAGAGGTAGGAACTGCCAAGGCTTGTGCTGATATATTTATCTCGTATGTGAGAAAGTTTGAAGTGGATAAATGTAAGAACGGGTCTAGTTACTTGAAGGCTTTTGGTGCGGGAAAGAGCTGCTGGAGAGCCGTGGTATTTATAGTATATTGTCCTAGGGTTTCCTCTTGAGTTACAAAGGTGAGCCAATTTTTTCTTCGCCCTATTTTCGCCTCAAGTTGTAAAGATGCGTTTAAACCACACTGTGGGATCTGGAATGATGTAACATAATAGATGTTGGGTATTATTGGGGTGTGGTTATTGTCACAATTAATATTGTGATGATTACCAAAATTTTAATTTTTTTAAAAAAGTGTTTGAAAATATTAGTTTGTTAATTAATAAATATTAACTGTTCAATCAATAATTAGTTAATAATTACAATTATTAGTCATTTTTATGAATCAAATTAAACAAAATCAATATTTTTAAAAACAATATCTTAGAATTTTGATAGTTATAATATTATTATTGATGGTCATAACCATGCTTGTTGTGATATGGTCGATATGAATGGTTAGAAAT